CGTTCTGGAAAATATTAGCGTTTCGTGTTCGTTTTGACTTGGTGTGGACGGGGCCTTATACAAATGGTTTGTTGCTTATTAGCAACTACAGGCATCAAAGGGTTAAAGACGGATAAAAACATATTAAGCTGAGTTAACAGCAGAACTGAGTGTGATATAAACTTTCCGAGGCTCTGAGTTTTTGGTAGATGAGTGGATGACGGTCTGTTTTCTTCATTTTCTATTCTCTTGTCTCTGGTTTTTGTTTCTTTGCTTTTTAAACCTTCTGTCCTTAAAATGTCCCAGAGAGGCAGGGAGTTTTCTCCCTGTTTGGTCTGAAGAAAAATATTCACCATCAACCCATAACACACCCGAGTAGAAATGTTGGTATTTTGGGTCATATAATGGAGAAATTCAATAAAAAAAAAAAAGAAAATCATGAGCTCCATTTTACACCTTGTTTGGCTGTTTTTATTTAATTCTTTACCATGCAAAGTGAAGAAAATAAGTATTTGAACATCCTGCTATTTTAAAAGTTCTTCCTCTTAGAATTAATGGAGGCGTCTGAAATTGTCATCGTAGGTGGATGTTCACTGTGAGAGACATAATCTCAAAAAAATAATCCAGAATTCACAATATGTGATTTATTTTCCTCACTGTAGCTCAGATGTAGGTTAGAGTGAGACATTTAGACCGAGTTCTTACACCTGATATGACCCTGGTTGATTTTATTCGGCCCTGGATTCTTGTGTCATTTGGTGCCAGAGTTGAGGTGTGTGTTTTTATGTCTTCCTAGAACCCGACCTGGCGGAGCCTGGACTTTGGTATGCTTCCAGACCTCCTGGATACGTCGGTGTCTTGCTTTGTGGTGAGGATATGGGGCGGACAGGAAGAACAGTACCAGCTCCTCATTGAATGGAAGGTCAACCTGGATGGCCTCAGATACACGGGACAGCAGGTCAGCAACCGTTGATCGTATCACTCTACCAATCATTTATCTCGTATAAAAGAAATGCATAACATGAAGGGCTATTTGTATTTTTATTTTGTACATATGCTAACTTAAAAAAAATAGTACATCATTATATATGAAATACATATTGTTGTAGCTGTATTAAATACTGACTGAATAAACAGAAATGTTTTGCACAAATGCACATTATTAAATATTCAACAAATCATGATCCTATTGAGCTTATATTGAAACACTTAGAATATCCAATGTACAGAGATGTAAGAGTATAATTTAAAGACAGGGTATGTTGCTTTATGAAATTTATTTCATTGAAATCTAGTGGATGCTAACTAGGGTGGTGCAGTTTGTTGCACTGCTGCCTTGCAGCAAGAAGGTTAAGGGTTCGATTCCCGGCCCGGGGTCTTTCTGCATGGACTTTGCATGTTCTCTCTGGCGATCTGTCCAGGGTGGGCCCCTCTTGCCATAGACAGCTGGAGATAGGCACCAGATCCCCTTGTGACCCCAGCAGGGGTAAGCGTGGCTGAAAATGGATGGATGAATGTTAACAAGGATATAATTCTCCGTTTTTTATTGTAAGCTAACGGATTGTTCTAGTTATTCTCAGAGGAATGGTAAAACCAGAACCACAAAGTGTGTTAAATCACTAAAAACCTCTCAATCTACCGTTATTGTTGCTAGCTTTGTCTCATTCTATCATGTTACAAACGTTTTGCCTCGGTTAACCTCATAAAGTTAATTCAGCATCTTTGTCTCCATTTAACAAATAATAATGTAAATAATCCCTGATCAGAATCTGGATCCATTCATGTTTTCTGCTTTAGCTTGCTTCCCTCCAGCCTGCTTTACTTTCTTGTTAATAACAGTGAGGCTGTTATAATGGCGCCCTCTAGTGGATAACGGTAATACAACAACACAAAGCTTTTCTTTTAATTGGACGTTATCAATTAATCAGATGGAAAATTCTTTAATCTAATAAACCATTAACCGACAGTTATAAGTTAATATTTGTTTATATTCCTAGTTGCTGCTCTTAAGTCTTTAACCTTTTCTTGTCTTATTTCCATCTGGTTGTTTACGAAGGCAAGGTCATAGATAATATGGCAGGAAACTGTGAAGATAATGATTTTTAAATTATGACCACATACGAAGATTGTTAAGGTTTGCTGAAAACAACACAGTTTTGCATAACTAAAACAGAGAATGATGTATAGTTTAGTACTGCAACGCTTCAGACTTTTTTATTCCATGCCCCTGAATAAATACTTTGAGAGCTCACATTTTCCCCCATTACATCTGATAGTCTTTGGAGGTATTAGAGCTGGGCACTTTGCTGGGAGTCTTCAATGTTTTCCAGGCCAAGGACCTCAAACTGATGGCCAGATGGAGCGGGGACCCCCTAACTATATATATTGTATGAAATTGTGTTAGGTAGGAGGTCTTCAACAGGACCCCCTGTTGAAGACCTCCGCTCTATACTAAGCAGAGGGATGTTCATGTTTAGCTTCCAGGTTTATGACCTTGGATGTTCTACTACGGTATTAAAGCTGCTACTAGCTTTCATGGACAGATGTGCAACCCTCTCCTTTCCCTTCTGCGTGTTTTTATTTAGGAGGTAAAAACTGCAAATAGCAGAACAAAAAAATCCAACATTTTTTGCCTGCAAGTTTTGAATCTTTTGTTAAAGTAGAAGCAATTATAACCGTTTTATAGACAATCCAGTTACTAAATATTTAAGTGGGGCTATTGGAGCACTCTTACTTTTCTTTGTAACAAAAAAACTTTTTCCTGGCTTTTCACGCAGACCTAGGGGAGTGTTAACCTTTTATATCCATTCATGCTCAGTTTTCATTGTCTTAGAGAAGCTTAGATCACGACTTACATGCAGCGTCTCCACACTTGGCAGGATGATCTTCCCTAATGATCGGTCCCCAGAGACTCCTTGTATCAGGAGTTATCATTAAAGATGAGGCAAACATCTGCATGAATCTCTTGCCGTGTGAAATGGACTTTAGGTTAGAATAATTGAAATTCTTTGTATAAACCATCAGAAAAGTCTTTCAGATTCTATAAAACTTCTCCAAAGTGTCCTGCAGGTCCTGCGGCTCCACCTCATGCAACAGGAGCTGGTGCTTAAACAGCTCATTGGGCCGTAAAAGTTTCAGATTCCTGTTGTAGAAGTAAAGGACCCCACAGCATGACACTGCCACCACAATGTTATATCATGAGGAAGGTAGAAACAAGGAGATGCACAGTAGGTTTGCCTGCTGACCACAGGTTAATCGTAGTTTTTAATTTGACTACTCCATCGTCCTCTTCATGTTGGCTTTGTCCTCCTTCAGATTTACTCCAGATTCATTTCAACAAACTTCCTTGTTAAATTTCTGTTCCTTCTGTATTGTCTTTGTTTCTCTGTCTGATGCCCAAGCGGTGGGGGGGGAAATGTTCATGTTGCTGCAGTCTGCAGTCTGACCGCTAGATGTCGCTAAAAGTTACACACTGTAGCTTTAATACATTGACATTAATTTTTACCATCAAAATATCCATATTTTTTTTGTTCCACAGGAAATAAGCTCTTGTCCTGGATTTCAATAACACTATTGGCTTGAAACGTTGATTTTTAAAGTACGCTGGTAAAGATTCTCAGCCATCAAGATCATAGTCATAAAAAAAAAAAAAAATCCACTGAACTGGTCAAATCTTTGTCATTGCTAACTGATCTAATGTCAAATATTTTGGCAATAAAGGTTAAAGACTTTGTTGCTAACCTGCCTTCCCCCCTGGAAAGAACAGAGCAAGGGGTCTTTATTCTGTCTCTTTATCAATAATAATAATAATAATATAATTGTACTTTATTGATCTCACATTGGAGAAATTTACCTCAGCATTTAACCCATCCCCTTGGGGAGCAGTGGGCTGCCATTGTGCGCCACCCAGCGAGCAGTGGGGGATTAATCCCGTTAGAGGGTGCTCAGTGAAATACCGTAATTTTCGGACTATAAGCCGCGACTTTTTCCCCATTTTTCGACCTTGCGGCTTATCTATGAACTTTTACAGCTAACGGCCACTAGGGTAATACCTAAATCTATGGATTTTACCATCCACCATGTTGACGTCACATTTGCTTTAACACACAAGTGTTGAAGCAAAGCGGGAATGCGGAGGTCCTCCGGAAGCAGACTTCTACCGCGAGTGGTACGACACAGAACGACAGCGAGAAAGACGGATATTAAACATAAAAAACCTGCGGCCTATAGTCCGGTACGGCTTGTATATGTACAAATCATGCAATTTAGCTTTTGCGGCTTATATTTAGGTGCAGCTAATAGTCCGAAAATTATGGTACTTTGAAAATCAACATTTCAAGCCAATAGTGTTATACAGGCAAGACCAAATATGGATATTTTAATGGCAAAAATGAATGTAAATGTAATAACAGGAATCTGGGGGTCTTTGACCTTTGCTTTAGAGCCATTAGCTTAAAAGGGCAAAAATATATATATACACTTTAGATCCATCAGGTTTAATCTTTTATTTTTAATTCTAAAATTTGAGCTCGATGTGATTTTTTTAAAATTATTATTATTTTTTCTTTTTGTTCCACCTCCTAATAATCTTCTGTGTTGTTAACCTCTTGCAACTCATAGCTTTAGATATGAATCTAATCTAGACTCCATAAGATGATGACCGTTATGTTCATAGTTTTCTATTTTAACTAAAACTAAAACTCTTTCCACGTCGAGATTTGAAATATCTGTTCTCTAAATACATAAATGTGTTGAAGTCATTCCTCCTTGCCCAGATGTGCAGGTTCACAGCTGCCCCAGCCTACAATCATTCACTCTGGCTTCAAACAATCGCCCACTTTCAGTCCGGATCCTAGCTTTCCTCCCTAGCCCAGCGGAGGGGATGCCCATATATTTAATTTTTTTAAATAAAAGAAGCTCTCTTAAATTATGTCCATGCAGGGCCGTGCCACGCTGCTTCTGGATCGTCTTCAGATCGTATTATTCCGTTACGTTGAGAAATTGTAGCCCTTTTAAGCAGAGTTTAAACTCTAACATGTGCGGAACCAGAGATGAGCTGTTTTCACTGTCAGTACGTTTGAAAAGTGTTCCTAACCCCACAGAAAGGTGCCTGCTACCTGCTGCTCTCCACTGCCTCAACAAACCCACTGGAAGCTTCGCTCTGTATCAGGTTTAAATGATCTACAGGTCGTTTGGTTACCTTTTAATTTACGCTGGATTCTTAGAAAGAAGGTTGCAAATCCTAAGTCTTCCACCGTAGTAAATCCTACATTCCTTGCAGATTTTCCCGTACTGTAAACTCTGCGCTGTAGTAAATCCTGCATCTCTGCATTCCTTTCTCATTTTACGCCGCAATAAATCTGATCCTCCTATATGTGAGCAGATGAGTTTAGCTCCCTGCTTTCTATTATTCAAGGCCTTAAGGAAATTGCTGAAGTAATTGAAGTTATTTGATTGTTTTTCTCAAGTGTGGGAAGCTTAGATTATTGTTTGATCTTCCAAATGCGTTTTACATCCATCATGAAGTTTTAATGTGAAATATAATCGATTTTGTAATTCTGCGCTCTAGTGCTAAATCTGAATGAAGCTAATCATTAAACGATGTCTGTTGTGAGTTTGGTGCATCGAATGAGAGGCCGATCAGTCTCATGATACTTCAGAGGAAGCTTACGGTTCTGCTGTTCCTTTGCAGTGGGGCTGCGTTCAGAGCTCATAAACAGATAACTCAGTTTCATGCACATCCAGATGTCTCTTGTACTTTGTTCTCTCCGACCTGGTCCCCATATTCAGCCTCTACCATCCCGCTCTGCCCACAGATTCGATCCAGATACCCAAATGAGATCATATTTGGACTGAATGATGGCTACTATGCAGCTGACTTTGATCACAAGGTATTACCTTTGGTCTTTTTTTTTCTTTTAGTTAAGAAACAGAGTCTCCTAATGGTTGTATTTGGAAATAGAAGCTTCAGCGCTAAAGATGTGTCTGTTTCAGGATCCATCAGAGCGGAAGAATTACAGCCTGCTTCAGGTGGACCAATGCTCAGTCAGGAACTCCTACAGCGTTTTCTCTCTGCTCAGGTAAGAGTCCCACCACTCAGTGTTATTATCTCAATCTACAGCCCATCTGATTTATGATGATCCAAATGCGGTACCATATGGAGGACCAATCCTGCCATAATTAAAAATACATACAGAAATAAATGAAGGACTTAAAGTCATAGGGAAGCGGCTGTTCCAAACGTTGTATTTCCGAATTCTCCCGAGTGGTGTCCGACTTTACACTAGTGAATAAAGTGAATGTGATTGGTCGTTTATCAAGGGGGCGGGATTGTTGTAGTGGAAGGTTCACAAGCAAGTTTGGTTGTTGCCAGTTTGTCGGAAGCATCTTGCTAACCAGTTAGCAACTTAGTGCTAGTAGGTTCCCAATGGGAAATTCCATTGGGACCAAGTAGCACTAAATTGGTGACTTAGAAATGACACTGTCAAGGAACGCTATGGACAGAGGAAACATGCAAGAGGAGGAGAGTTTAGTGTCGGAGGTCGTGGATGAGTCTCCTCCGTCTCCTTTCAGTGGAGCATCCACAGAGCTCAGAGTATTAAGATAAAAGTTCTCTTTTCTGTTGCTGTTGTTCAATAAAAGTATGTTTTAAGACAGGGGTGTCAAACTGGTTCCAGAAAGGGCTGTGTGGCTGCAGGTTTTCTTTCCAACCAAGCAATAGAACACCAGATTCCAGTCAACTCATCAAGGGAGTCCAATCTGAACATGATGACTTGATGATATGAATGGAGTCTGTTGTGCTGTTGTTTGGTTGGAAAGAAAACCTGCAGCCACACGGCCCTTTCTGGAACCAGTTTGACACCTGTGTTTTAAGATCAATAGAGGCGAGAACATTATACTTTTAAGCGTCACTATATGGCCCATTTACCGATTTTAATGCGTAATAAAAAAAAAAAAAAGTTCAGATGTTGAGAGGACTGGGGCAACCAGCGGACCTCTGAGGCTAACGGCAGCCAGGGCTAATTGTAGCCCGTCTGCAGCAGCCCTCTCTCTGCATAGCCGTGTGTGAAGGACCGCTGGCTGTGATGGAGAGTTTACTGTTTTATTTGGTAAAAATGTTCATTTGATTTGTGTTTATCCGACTGTAATCATTATTATTCCCCCAATAAATGAAAAAGGTACAAATTCATTATTATCTAGAGACTATTAATAACAGGAGGTGAAATGCAGCTCCAGATGAGCCGAGCAGGGGGTGATGTCATCAGTTCGCTTCTGTTCCAATGGACCCATGTTTATCCTGCATGCTCCCGTTCTCCCAGAGTCCACACTTTACTGTGTTCTTCTCAAGAACATACTTAGCGAGAACACGAGTCCGTACTCGGGTTCTAGTGAATTTAGAAACAGCCAACAATTGGCTCTCCAACTATACGCCTATAAAGTTCACCATTACTCTGCGAAGATTCTTATTTCAACCACTGCGTATATTAGCTGCGACATGTGAATCAAGATGCTATGACCAAAAGAATTTGATTGAAAGATGATGTTGATATATGATTGGCCGAATTTAGGTGTTCAGAGAGACGTATAACTAACTGGCCTGCATAAGATAATGAAGAAAAAAACACAGATTTTTAAGACAGGATTTTTTTTTTTATAGAAATTTTTATAAATTTTACACACATACATGATTAAACCAGAATGATTCAACATTTAAATATGATTTCCCTACGACTTTAATTATATAAAATTGTATATATAATAATTAATTGTAATTTTAATGATATAAAACTTATTTTTTAAGCAGTTTTATATAATTTAGTCCTTCATTTATTTCTGTCTGTTTTTTTGTAAAGACTTCCTCCTCTACTGGGCCAGGTATACCTGGATCTGCCTGCTTCAAGTCACTGAATTTCTTCTTTTTACCATAACTTTTGGAATGTTATACATTTTCTGTCCAGCAGATGGAGCCAGTGTGACAGCTAACAATAGGAAGCTCATTTAAATCAAGATTTTCTTCTCTCTAACTGAATATAAGCAGCCAAAGCCTGCAATTTACATCATTTAAAAAAAAAATGAAAGAAAAGTGATTATGATGCAAAAATGTATCTAAAAATTACAAACAAGTTCTTTATTTTAATGCATTTACCTGAGGTTGAGCAGGTAATTAAGCTAATACAATAAAGAGGTGAGTATTTTGGCTTCTTGATGAGATAAAATCTATTTACTGCACTGGGGAAAAAAAAAAGATTCATAAATGTTTTTCTTCTTATTTTAAGAATGAAAATTTCTACTCTTATTAGCAAATAAGGGGGAGCCCCCACTTATTTCAAGAAAAAAAAAAACTTCCTTTAATTTAGTCATTTTGTATGGGCTGAGAGCAGGGGATTGTATTTGGGGGGGGTGTAACCTGAGCCCCTCCACTTCACACCACAACAAGGCGACGGAGAAAAGCTGACTCGGTTGCTAATGAGAAGGGGGAACCCTGGTAGGCTCATTAAGGGCAAGAGCCACAAGGAAACCCTGGGAGTTGTTGACAAACACAGGTTTGTTGCCCCACAGCTATATTTAAACGCGGTGAGATATAAACACCACTGTCTAAATCCCCAGGGCTTCCCCCCTTAAGGGAAACCCTCTGTTAGCTGGGGTCTGATCATATAACAGCATAATCACATCCAGTCGTTGGTCCATGGAAAAGTAAATCTGGATAGCTTTATTTAGACTCTTGTTAAATAGGATCAGGATCCTATGATTAGGAGAACTGTGAAACATTCTACCTCTTTGTTGGGGGGGGCGGATATGCGTTAAAGGACTTTGTAGCACGGAGGAAAAAGGAGCGAAAGCCAAAGCCTGCTGAACCTTAGCAGCTCTGCTTTATTGTTGAAGTGGTCATGCTTTATGTTTATAGCAGCGCTCTGCCTCCTGAGGAGCTCGCTGGAAAAAAAAGCCCAACTTCAGCCATAACTTCTCTGACCTCTGCTCTTACATTTTCTATTACCTTCATTCACATCCTCTTCCTTGTATCCTCACCCTGTGGGACTCCATGAAGTTTAACACCCTTAAACTCAACCCCTTTCCTCCTCCATGTCGCTCTATCTGCAGCTCCTCACCCCCCCGGTCACTGATTTTCTTTGGCTTAATCTGCTCTCAGACACATGGGCTTTGATAATGTACAGCAGAATGATTAATAAGTTATTTTACTGTCCAGCAGGGATTAAACTCTAAGCAAACAGCTGAAATGCAAAGTTGTCGGTGTTTAGTTTCCGACCCGCAGCGCTGCTCATTCTTCAAAGTACATTAGCGCTCTGTACTCTGATGTTTTGTTAAGAGGAACCTTTACACAATATTTTCACATTCCAGCTACAGACTTTATTGCATTTTGGGGATTTTGTGTGATAGATCAACACAAAGTAGTTATTTTACTGTTAGGATGAAGGAAGAATATCTATATATTATTTTTATATTCAAAAGTCTTTAAAAATAGAAGACTGAGGCAATAATTTTTCTTCAATGTTCCTGATTCCTTACTTTATGGAACCGTTTGCTGCGTTTATGACGTAAAGATAAAAACCCCAGATTTTTTTTCAATAATATCTGAACGATCTATCTTTGTCCTCCTTTTAAGTTTCATAAAAACGATAAAATGACAAATTATCTCAGCAATTAAAATCTAACACAGTGTTTGCAGCCCGCTGTATTACACAATGAGGTAGTTAATCAGTTTAAATTACACATGTAAGGCGTCACTCCGTGTAAATCAGTCTCCGTATACATCGTTATATTTAAATGATCAATAACAATAAAAAAGACTTCTAATAAAGTTTCCAATAATTTCCCTGAACCCTGATCCTGAACTTTGTGGTATTCTGAGGAATAAAGTTGGAGGAGAGGGTTTAGTCTCGCAACCTCATGGCCATGATGCCAAATTACGTAATTTACGTAATTACGTTAGCTTCCACACTTCGCACTGCGACTACATAGACAGAATTTCACTACTGCGCACCTTGGAAGATGTGTGACAACATCATGGAGAAGCCTGGTGGAAGAGCGACAGCTCCTACAGGCAAAGGTTGGAAAAAATAAACACTTCTAGAAATGTCTATGATTCAGCCAATAAATATAAACACCATCAACAATTGTTAAAACCTCTCTGAGAAAAATTACTCAAAGAGGCTTTGAAGAAGTCGAAAATAACTGCATTTACTACTTCCTCGTGTAGTTTGGTGTTGTAAGCTTGCAGTTTCTGCTGTGTACACCCACCTGGAGCCGTCCAGAATACTGGGTATAACTGGAGGTGCTGCATAGAGTATAAAAGCTGCAGAAGTTGTGTCCTGAACTTATGATATTTTGTCCACACCATGTCACAAATCGTTTCTTGTTCAACTCTAATCTTCTCAGCAACTAAAGAGTCCTCCCTGTATTTTTGCCTCGTACCGAGAATCCTTTTATGTTCACCTGTTTGGCTGTGACTCCATCCTGGAGAGAAATCTCAGATATCAGCTGTGCTCCTGCCATCAGCACCTTTGTTTATAGATGCTGGAGATCTGCCTGTTTTCCAGTGTAGTCCTGTTTCTCTGACTGTGACTGGCTGGATGTGCTCTCTTCATCCTCTGACATGGGAGCTGGCTCCAAGCTCATGTGCCTGGCTGTGTGTTTCCTGGAAGGGGCCGCCTTTTACAGTTGCTTTTTGTATCTCTGCTTCTGTCTCCTTGAACCCCAGTCAGCCTCAGCAGATGGCCGCTCACACTGAGCCTGGTTCTGCTGGAGGTTTCTACCTGTTAAAATTAGTTTTTCCTCTCCACTGTTGCTACAAGCATGCTTAGTATGAGGGATTGCCTTCGAGTCATTGACATCTAAGATCTCGTTCTTTTGGTCATGAACATAGGTGAGGTTAGGAACATAAATCGAGAGCTTTGCCTCTGTGCTCAGCTCTGTCTTCATGTCATTCATGAACAGGACCCCAAGGTACTTGTACTGATCCACTGAGGACAAGAACTCTCCTCCAACAAGAACCAATAAATGCAGTCCTGTCAGAGTCCAACATAAATCAAGAACAGGTCTAATCCAGTGGCAGCAATGTGGC